AAAAAAAAAAAAAAAAAAAAAAAAAAAAAAAAAAAAAAAAAAAAAAAAAAAAAAAAAAAAAAAAAGCTTATACATTTAACAATATGGATAAGACTCAAAAATAGATTCCAAATGCTACATACTATATGTTTTATTTATTCCTACAGACTCTAGGAAAGACAAAAATAGGGACAGAAATCAAATCAGTGGATGCCAGGACCTGGGGGTGTGGTAAGGGATTGACTGCAAACAGGCATTAGGGAAATGTGTGGAAATGTTTTGCATATTAATTGTAGTGGAAGATACATACACAGCATGTGCATTTGTCAAAACTCATCAAACCGTACAGTTTAAAAGAGTAAATGTTGTGTATGCAAATTATACCTCAACAAACTTGACTTGAGAGTTGAAAAAAAGAGCAGGAAATATTAGATAATAATATGAATAACAGTGGCATTTGCAGTCATGTTGGTCTTTACAAAGGACCCAATTTGTGTTTCTCTGAGCACAGTATTGGGTCCTTTTATCTCCCCTCTTTCAATCTCTTTTCCATTTTGGTTTCACCACACTGTGGAAACACCACAGGAGATTGAAGAAAAGAAGTAGAGTGAAGTCTTGTGCTTATTTCATAGGTTCCATGACCTGTAGTTTGCTCTTGACTTACAGTGTCCCTAAGTGAAATATCACACTTCTGCCAGACAACTTTGTCTACTCAAGATCCCTTTGTCTCCGGGTCCCTGTAACTATACTCAACTCTTCTGGACTCGGGTTCACTATACTATATGATCCCTTCTGGTTCTTCTACACGATGTTCACATCACGTTCTCTTCAAATTACTCAATTTGAATGTGCCATCTCTTTCCTGCCACATTCTGATAGAGACAGTAAGGTTCAACACTTTGTCTCATCACCTCTAAGCTAAGAAAATTTGGGCTATTCATTTTACAGATTTGGGTTTCTACACCTAACTGAGCTTTAGGTTTCTCATCTATTATATTTGGAAACTTATACTTCCTTGGCAAGGTTGTTATGAAAATTAAATTATGACATGCTAGCTGAAAAAGTGTTCATTAATATTTTTTCCCTTTCTCATCTTAGTGTCTCCCCATCCCACCCAGAATATTCTCTTTATCTTTCATTTCTTTGCATGCTCCAATTTTTCCTCTCTCTTTGAAGGTAATAGAATTTTTCTATCATGTATAAACGCAAAAGTAAATGACATAGAGGTGAATAATATACAGAAGGCTGTGTAAGTGGCTTAAATGTACCGTGGATGTTCCTGGAATAAACTGTTGCTATTTCTACTGCTGCAGAACAGTTAAGTCAAACTTTTGAATTAGGTCAACAAAATCCACAAATAGGGTGGAATCTTTGGACTGTCTAAGCAGGGACAGATCTGGAATAAATCAGCCACAGATATCACTTGTCGGCATGCTAAGAGAGGCTTTTCAAATAAGAATAAAAGGTATGTCAATAATATTGGCTTCTAGTAACATTATGATGCATCCATTAATCTGTATTGAGAGTTTTCCATCATGTGGATTCAAGCTAACATAACTGATTTATGGCAGTAATGTCTAAACAAGGGTCCACAATTAGGCTGTATTTTTATCTTGACTTGTGAACTGTCTCTGCCAACTACTCAAATTTCAAGCTTGTTGAGACATATGTTATCCCTGGAAACCCTTCATAAAAATGAAGCATTTTACTAACCCACCAATTCTGTGTGCTCTGGTCAGTTCCCCCATCTAGATCCAAATTAACCATGTAATAGTTCCTATACTAGTGACTAGTATTTTAAATGGCCTTTTTAGGAAAACCAAAAAGAACAAAGTTATTTCTTTTTGTGCAAAAATATAATCTGCTTTGGATTCTCTTTTGTAGCTTTTAAAGTAGTGAGACAGAAGGCAGTCGTAGGGAAAGAACTGGGTATGGAATTAAGAAGATCTGCATTTGAAATCCAGCTCTGAGACCACTTCCTAGCTGTGTGACCTTATAGTCACTTGATTTACCTGAGCCTCTGCCTCTTTATCTGTCAAATGGGGACCCTCTGGTAAATCAAAGGAGCCATTAATGATCTAATAAGATAATATGTTGTCTTAATAACTTAATAATTTGCAGAGATGCAAATGTGCTTAGTAAGAGATAAGAATAAAAGAAACGTCCAGACAGAGGCAGAAATATTTTGGTTAAAAGGAAATTAAAGTACTGGAGGACAACAGCAAGATAAAAATGATTACAGCATCTTCATTTATAGCTCACATGTCACGGCTCAGTATTTATAGGTTTGTTAGTGACAGTCTTCCCAGTATAGCAATGTTAATTACGAAGTAGCTGTCATTGTGTTTCGCTGACACAGCACTGTGCACCTGACTGAGGCTGAAACGATTCATTATTTCCACAGCTGATCATTTAAAGATCCAAAAATTACACCAATAAATCAGTTTGTGTCTGATTATAATCTCCCTAAATCATACTTTGAAATTCCCTGGTGACTTTTCAACAATTATTAGTGTATTTTATTTCTCAAATATGATTTGTAATAGCCAGAGCTTGACTAAAACCTCAGGAAGAGGTGATGGGTGTGAAGCTGAACACAATCTATACTTAAATTTTCCAGAGCCTATGCTTCCACTGCTACTTAAATGCCATGATCAAAGCAAGAGATAGACTAAATATGGAGGGAAAGGAGGGAGGGAAAAGCAGAAGGAAGGGGGGAGAGGGAGGGAGAGAAAGAGATTGAACAGAGGCTTGGGAAAATGCTCAGTGGAAAATCTGTAGAAATGATGTAACACAAAGCAAAGGCAGGGATTGGAGTAAGGGGTGTATAACTGAGACTATAAAAAGTCAGAGAGAAAACTCACCATAGGGCTGAGTTTTGGAGAAACTGCACACACAGTACTCTAAAGTTTGAATCTCCTGATTTTTCACAAGGTAAGTTGTATGTAAAAATTGACAAATATTTAGTGCTTTTTTTCTTTTAACTATTTTTTTACTTTCACAGACTCTTTAAGTGTTTTGATTATATCTGGATTTTTTTAATTAGAAACATTTTTGGTAATATTTCCCTCTCTAAAATGAGTAGAAAAGCAAAGATATTTTTGCAATGTAAATTTAAGGTGGAACTAATTGCTTATTCAGATATTTATTACGTTGCTTTTTGCATTTCTTTCATTTCAAAACAAAGAGAAGGTGGATGCAAGATAATAATTCTATAGGTATGTTAATAGCATTATTTTGCTTTCCTCAAAAAATGTTTTATATAGAAGAGTGGTCTAAACAAACTTGAAGCTTCAGAAACATCCCTAATGAAATTCTTTGTTCTTAAAACCTAAAGCATCTTGTTTTTCTCCTTTTATATCAAATATACAAACATGATGTTGATAACAGCTGGAATACACTTTGATTATGTCTGTTCTTCAGTATTTGTAGTGCTCTTGCTATTCCATGATTGAATTGAGAGTTAATGTGAAGCATACATTTGAGTTCTGTTTGAGAAGAAATGTAACATTTCATTTCAGGTTTAGTGTGCACTCAATGAATTCAGCTCTAACAATTCAAATGCTGTTTCTTCGAATAACAGACTCTATAGGTTTAGGAATGTGATTATTATTTGTTTATGAGTTTTTCTCCTAAAAATTTAGCATTTTTGAGAATGAATCATGGTGATTTTAATGCCTATATAAGTTATAGAATTGATAGTATTATATCTAATAGTCTACCCAAAAACATCAGGGACATTTTGTGTCTTCTCTTACTTTGATATTACTCTTCAGCACTCTTATAGAACTTTTGTAAAGAGTACTTTCTGTTGATAACAGTTCAAGTGTCCTCCATGTAAGTGAATTTTACTATGGCTTCAATAAAAAATTATTTAGCGTGTTTAAGGTCGACCGTAGCTTTCTCCCCCTTATTTCCCAGGATTTTTAACTAATTCTTATATCATGAATAATGAGCAGTAGAGAAGCAGATATCTTTAGTTGATTAGGCACAGAAACCTCAGGGCTATTATTTTAACTTCTTTTACAAATACTCTCAATGATTTGAATGTTTGATTAATAAAATCAGATTAATTGTACTTGTCTCAAAAAATAAAGAACTCAAAGAAATCCTAATATATTGTTCTAGCTCTATTATAATCTACCTATACAGCTTCACACAAGCCTTAAGCACAAATTAAAGCTTGATAATATTGTATTTTGTCCTAAGCAAATTACAATATTGATAATATTGTAATTTGCTTAGATTCAACAGCTCAGTCAGAGCAATCCAAGATTTGCAGGCAGAAAACTAGACTTCTAATCCTAGTTCTGACTTCAACAGCTTCATGGACAAATCATTCAGCTTCCCCGAAGCTTTATTCTTCCCTCAGTAAAACTGGAGTTTGTGAAGGTACAATGGGTAAGCTACAACAAGGTGCTAATTCTGGGTATCTCTCTTAAATGAACCAACTCTCCAAATGTCTCCAGATTTCTCAGATTAAAGGCATTTTGTAGCTGAGTGCTTTCTCTTCTTTCTTCAAGTAAGTATCATGGTACACCCCTGGAGCAGTGACCCCTTCTTTATTGCCACTTCATTAGCTCAGGCCTTAATACAAACCATATCCTCTCTCTAGCAGCAGTGCCTTTGCCATCACCTTCTTCTCCCTCTTCCTCTCCAGACATTTCTGTATTCTTATCTTCTCTCCTCTCCCTTGAGCATTTTCTCTGATCATCACTCACTTTCTCCATCTATTAGAGAGTATTAAATGTGATCATTTCTAATGATTGCTTCCTCTCTTTCTAAAATTCTATATTCCTATGATCCCTAAGGCTATAAACATGTAAAAATTCCACTTTAAAAGTATTATATAAAATGGTATTAAAAGTTCACTTTAGTTGGCACAATTACAGCCAGAAGAATAATGATGCCTTCAGTACAACTGAACTTTCTTTTGTTTCTTTCCGAGGGTTACATTTTCTATAGTTGGAAGGAATTTTTATAGAAATATTATGACTCAAAATAATAACGCACCAAATGTTAGAGTGATTTCTATTGATAACTCCCTATAGTGAAATTTCCTCCCCATTCAATATTATTTTTCTTAATATATTTTATTTTCTATCACTCTGCCATAATTCTAGATTTTGAAGACTAATTTTGTTTCTTAAAATGAATGATAAAAATATTTTTTCATAAAAACTAAAAAGTAGTAGCAAACTGACACAAGAACAGAAAACCAAACACCTCATGTTCTCACTCATAAGTGGGTGTTGAAAATGAGAACATATGGACACAGGGAGGGGAACATCACACACTGGGGTCTGTTGTGGGGTGGGGAACTAGGGGAGGGATAGCAGGAGGTGGGGAGTTTGGGGAGGGATAACGCTGGGGGGATGGAGGCAGCAAACCACCATGGCATGTGTATACCTGTGTAACAATCCTGCAAGATCTGCACATGTACCCCAGAACTTAAAGTATAATAAAAAAATTAAAAAGTAATTAAAATATTTTGTAAAGTTGCTATATTTCGAAGGCAATCTCAGTATACTGATAACTGTTATTTATTGAGTAACTTTTTTTTTTTTTTTTAATGGAGTCTTGCTCTGTCGCCCAGGATGGAGTGCAATGGTAGGATCTCGGCTCACTGCAACCTCCGCTTCCCAGGTTCAAGCGATTCTCCTGCCTTGGCAGCTGGAATTACAGACGTGCGCCACCACATCGACTAATTTTTTGTATTTTTAGTAGAGACGGGGTTTCAGCATGTCATCAGACTGGTCTCAAACTCCTGACCTCGTGATCCGCCTGCCTCAGCTTCCCAAAGTGCTGGGATTACAGACATGAGCCACCGCGCCTGGCCTTGAGTAACTAATTTAAGCCCGTCACTTTACCCAGATTACTTCTGATCTTCATGCTAACCCTACTAATTAGGTCTTTGCCCTATTTTTTCTGAAGAAGATGTTAAAACAAAAAGGCTAAATGACATGCCTAATCAAGATTCAGATCCATCCAGGTCTATTTCTACTAATTCACTTTATGGTATTAGAAAGTGTACATACAATACTAGGCATTAGGACACCAGATTTCTAAAGTAACTCAGCTTGTTTCAGTTCACAGATTTTTAGAAAATAGAATTATCATGTTTTCTATATAAATCTAACATGACTGTTATAAGGATAACAGGAGATTAATTTCAAGATAATAAAGCACCACTATGCAAATGTTATTTTTTAAAAGGTTATATGGGACAATTCCATTTGAAGGAAGTGGAAGCATTCCAGAAAGGATCAGTTCTTGCAGAAGAAAATCCCTAGGCAGGGCAAGTGGTTGAGGAGTTTCCGCCTGAACCAGGCTGTGAGCAACAGGAAGACAGAGAAAGCATTTTTTTATTTTTATTTTTATATCCCCAGTATCTGGCATGCAGTGTATGGCCAATAAATGCATCCTATTGTTGAGTATTATACAATTTATATGGCTGGGCGCGGTGGTTCACGCCTATAATCCCAGCACTTTGGGAGGCCGAGGCGGGTGGATCACGAGGTCAAGAGATCGAGACCATCCTAGCCAACATGGTGAAACCCCGTCTCTACTAAAAATACAAAAATTAGCTGGGCATGGTGGCGCGTGCCTGTAGTCCCAGCTACTCAGGAGGCTGAGGCAGGAGAATTGCCTGAACCCAGGAGGCGGAAGTTGCGGTGAGCGGAGATCGCACCATTGCACTCCAGCCTGGGTAACAAGAGCGAAACTCCGGCTCAAAAAAAAAAATGTATATGCTTGCCCCTCTGTTTACACGTTAGAAGTACTTTTTCATCTATTATGTTGGCTAACTTAACATAATTATGATGTAAGATTTTGATTAAATATTTTATTTAAGTACAAAGTGGGGTAAAGGGTGAAGGGGGTAGTGATATTCCACATTAACTTCAGATGTAAGTATGCTACATTTAACTTAATTTATCCAATTTTACCCTCTGAAAGCCTTTGAATGCTGAATTTTAAAAAGCCTATATACAGAATGGCCAGCCAGTATATGCAACTCTATTAGCTTTTCCCTATCTACAGTTTCAAAGCTATTTTCCCATTAGTGAGCATTAGAATTAAACAACAAATTTCCGTAGCAGAATTGCCTACAATAATATACTAACGTAATTTTCTATTTTTAAGTAACACAGATTTATATCAAGAAATATGTAGCTATTTGGGGATTTAGGTACAGATTAATGTTCGATAAGGAGAAATCCTACAGTGTAGAGGGATGATTATTGGCGAATAGTGATACATGTAACTTTTATTAGAATGAGAATCTGTCATGTGAAATACTAATGGATGTATCAGGATTCCAGCAGGAGCTTCATCACATATTACTACAGGTGTAGAAATCTAGGGTAATCTCTTATCTTCCCTCTACCTTGGTTTTCATATCAAGAAAGCTGGGATATTAATATCTGCCCTGTATTTCTGTTTATCTTCCACATAAGGCTGCTTCATGCTTTCATTCAACACACACATTTGACTCTACACCAGGCATTCTGTTAGGTGCTTAGATGCAAGGGTGAACATGACATGGTTTCTGCCTTAAATAATGTTATAGCAACTAAACACTTCAGTAAACATCCAGATCTGGGTTTTTAAAAATAATAATGCAATCTTTCTTTAAAGTGGCATTATAGGTTTCTGGCTTCTTAATTTTTTGCAAGTAAGAGACTAGTAGTATTAATCACAGATCCAAATAGAAGAAGAAAACAGACAGAGATACTTAAAAATAAAATTTTAAGATTTTGGAAGGCAAAGTGAGTAAAAAAGTGAAAATGGCACCAAATAGAATAAAATCAGTTAACACATGTACTAGTAATGCATCATTCTTACTAATTTGTTGCCTTCAGGGAAAGTAATTTTAAAATGTAGATTTCTGCCACATTAATAATACTGCATCCATAAAAAATATTTACTTTATA